AATGTCTGAGATTCTCAAATCATTGGCCGATTTTGCTACATAACTCTGAACTAAGAGTATCTCTACCTCCAAGACCATCAATTACAGCAAGAAGACCAAAAAATCTAAGATATTGAACCCAAACCTGTTTCAAATTGGCTTACTGAGACCAAAGGCACCTTTAGATGTGGTCACTGCAAAGCGTGTCAATTTATATTACCATAAAAATTTACCAAATCATCCAGATCAGATTTAGTAGTTCAGACTAATGCTTTCATAAATTGCAGTTCCACATGAGTGATATATCTAATAACCTGCAGTTGCAGGATACAATACATCGGAAAAACATATCAACAATTGAGATGCCAAATATTGCAGCACATTAATTTAGTAACCAACAAAGTGGTTTCAAGAGTTGCTAGACACATTAGGACACATTAGGAATTTCCACAACAGTAAGGTGGAAAATCTGACATTTCAGGCCATAGCGCCTATCTGCGGGCCTCCAGATGTTTTGGACTATATCTCCCTTGATGCTTTGCTAGCATTATGGCCCTAAGAGCATTACGGGAGATGTAGTCCAAAACATCTGGAGGGCCGCAGATTGTCCACCCCTGCCCTAGTCAAAGAAAAGGAAATTACAACCTCCAACTACTCCAGAGGGAATCAGAATGGATCTATTCATTCCAGACATTTACCCCTAATGGTTTAAATGAGGAGTTTAATTATACTCCATTTATTCATAACTAACTCGTTTGTGATATGGCACTTTAAAAATGAAATAATTGAAATTTGAACTTTGGTTTTCTTGTTTGGATGTCTTAGTAATTTTTTTTTTCTTATACTGATTTTTCTAAATATTTTTCTTTATTTTTTACATATTTGTTTATTGTTTCACACTTATCTCCATCAGACAATGGGCAAAGCGCCAATTTACATTTTTCACACAGTGAGATTTATAATTAATCAATGCATTGACCTCCAGAACTATACCTATATGATACATAGTATACTCTTGTAGTTGATTATAGTTATAATTCATTTATTTAAATCTTATCAATTCTAGTAGCATCTGGGTGGTAACCTTATATTGGCTACATATAAATATAAAAGAATAATAAAAACAATAAATTAAGTTTATTTAAAATATAATTTATTTATTTAAATTAACTATTGATTCTCTAGTTAAAATATTGCATTGTTTAGTTTATATTGTTCCAGCTTAAACCTCAAGCATGAGGGGCTATGTAATATAATTTTCCATTTTATATTTCTTTAGTTAATTTACTATTTATTACTTTTCTTACCCACTTTTCTCTTTACACAATTCAGTTAGGGACCCTATTTAGATAAAATCTGATTGGCCAGGGTATGTATCAATCAATATGATGAAGCCTCATTGGTCACAATTATAACCAATGATCACTGTTGTAGTGCTTTTTAAACTCAATGTTCTTTCAGACTCTGTTCCCCTTGAAACGCACGTCAAGGTTCTGAATCTAGTTTGACTTATACTGTTTGCTACCTTGCTGATTGTAAGTTGACATTTAAACCGAGTAAGGACTTCTTTGAGATTTACAAAACTAATTGTTATAAGCCTACTTGATTCTAGTTTTAGAATTATAGATAGCCACTTACCTTTAAATAGCACAGGTGCCCTCGAAGGCACTGTTTGAATTTAGGGTCTCCTAGAATCTTATATTTACCACAATAACTTAGCTATCTCTACATTTAGCAAACAGCAGCTTACTGCTTCATCTCCACTCACTCTTGCTTAGATTCCTCCTTTTTTAGCCATCTCTAATTGTGACAGTTTAGATAAAACCTTTTCGTTCAGGTTCATCTTTATTCTGTGATGTCTTTTTCAAGGCTACATATGTACTTATTGTGTCTATTTGGGCAGCTGCAGAATTGGCTATTGTAAGCTTTCAAAGAACAGATACATTCTATCTTATCCTCCCTTTTTGTGCTACCCTTATACATTCAATACTAATTGACATATAGTGGGGAGTAAGCTGTATGAACTACTGTCAGATAGGGATGGTATTTACTTACCCCTATTTATAATTACTTTAGTGATACTTAAGTGACAGACTGATAAGGATGGTATTCACTCACCCATTTTGTTTATCGCTTCAGAGATTGAGTTTTTCATTATCTGCGACATTTCTCTCTTTTTAGTGTGATTGATTTGATTGTATCCTAGCTCATAGAGCTGGTATATATAAAACATGTGTAACGGAGCTCCAGTACTCCAACCGAGTACCTCCGTTGATGGATGCTCCTAGTGCTTACCGAGGGCTCCAAACACTTCTCCAGACACCATAAGCACTGCAGACCGAACCTCTCTTCCTTCAGAGAGTGAAGCAGGAACAAGCTCATAAAAGAGTTTAGTGATTATAGCCAAGGGAGTATACAGCGTATAGCAATACCCAGTGTAGATGCAGCCTTTTCCCGCACACATGAGACGAGGCTCTAAGTTGAGGGTAAAACAGGAACTCAGCAGTCTGAGGGTTTATTGTCTTATATGCAAGTTTTTACACAATGTTACCACCCACATGGGTTTGTGGCACAGCCAATCAAATACATTATAATACAGTCAAACACTCCCATTCATTCCAGGAAAATCCTTCCCTCTGCCTGTGATATAATTACTGTACACAATGGGTTAACTTAATTATCACAGGCAGGAAAATACACAGTTTCATACAATATTCATAACTCCTAAAATATCCATACAATTCTCATAAATTCTGAATCAGCATACTCCAAATACAAACATACTCAAAAATCAGACAATTCCCTCGAGTGGTTTAAAAGTTAGTTGGAAGTCCTATTTGACCGACTGCAAGCATGGCTTTTCTGCCCAAAACAGTTCCACAGATCTTTAGGCTGTGCAACCGGTCTATCTTCTCCTCTATCCTGGAGATAATTGGCTTAAGTAGGTGTGGTAACTTCCTTATCTCCAGGTACAGGGAATATCTCCATTTACAACAACAGTAAAACTACATAAAATACATCATTCCTATTATACTGAACAGAACCCCCACATTCAACCTATCCCCAGATAGCTTGGATCTGAGCGCTCAATATATCCGAACAGCGCTCAGATCCCAAGAACAGAATAAAATCGTCATGGGGTTAAAGTTTAGCAAGGGCTGATGAGAGATTGAGGAGGGACAAAGCAGCCAGTTTCAATTGGTCTGGCAGTGTCCCTGGGACAACGCCTAGCTGGAGAACAATGGGACAGGAAATGGGGGAGGGAAAGAGGCACACCTTCCCATGAATTCAAAGGGGCAGAAAAAGTGTCCCAAAATCCAATAAGCCCAAACAGACTTTTTAAAGGGCCATACACCCCAGGGCCATAATCACAGGGCAAGAGGCTGGCATGCAGGCCTCTTCAGGACCAAGTGGCGAAGGGCACTTCGTCACAAATTTTTTGTATCTTTTTCTTATATTTAATTAATAAAAGTTAAGTTTTATACATGTATCTGGTATACTAAATTGCTTTTTCTTATTGTTATTGTATTTATTCATTTTAATAAGGATAGAGAATTAGGAACTTATCCATAAAGCAACTGAAATATATTTAAAATATTGATTGTCTGCAACATGGGTACAGTATTGATGTCAGACTATTTGACATACCTCTTCTTGTGCCTCTAAGAGTTAATCTAGGGCCATTCTATTCTGAAGGGCTACTAATCGTAACTGTTCCTGTTCTGCTGATAGAGCTGTAATGGCCTGTAAGTTGTGGTTAAAAGCATCTACCAACAAATTTAATCTTATGTGTAGGGATAGATATTGTCTATCCGAATCTAACGCTGAGGTTTTAACCTTTCTCCTAATAGCAGTACAGAAACACCTAAATACAGCACAAGCAAGCAAAACACAACTACTATAGCACCTTCCAAGGGAACTGTAATGGACCGTTTGCACACAAGGGGTAAAAACCGTTTAGGCGATCGGCCCCCTTTCCAGAGATACAGGCATAGCTACTGCAGAACACCAAACTCCCGAACTGGATACAAAATAGCACTCCAACTCCCGAACTGGAACCTCCCAAATAGCTGCTAGCAGACAAACAGGAAAAGCAGACAATCAGCTTACACTCCTGGCAATCAGTCTCTAACAGCATACAGTGAATCCCCCCAAGAACGAGACAAGGCTCCGTGTTGAGGGTCAAGCAGTGGTCTGTTTAATGAAGGCTACCTGCCCAGCTTTTATGCAGGTCTCCCACCTGGTGGACACTCCCCTAGGGGACCAAATGGGAGACTGTGACAAGGGACAGACAAGTAGACAAATAGGACACACAGTCACAGTATATTCCCACAATGCATCCTGGCTTCCTCTCCTCTGCCCAGGAGATAATTGAGAAGTAATTAAATTATCTCCCAGGACAGAGACAAGACTCCATTCTGCACATGGTTAGCACAAAGCATTAAAATACTGTACAATACACAAAGTCCCATTTTATACATAAAACAAGCATTACTGTTAAAAATACACCAGGTAAGACACATTACATTAAAACTATACATTTAACATATCCCCAGATAGCTCAGGTCTGAGCGCACATTATTAAGTGAATGGCGCTCAGACCACACGAATACAGTTTAATCGCCATGGAGCCAAAGTCTTTACAGTCAGTTTCATATGAATGGGCTCCATGGGATTCCTATCTGGGGTATAACACATTCAAACAAATCTACCGAACCCCAGGCAGAAAAGCACGAATGAAGCTTTTCTGCAGGTAAAAAAGATGTCTTTTGACAGGGGGCCATAGTCCAAAGGCAGCAGGCGAGCAACCAGGCTTCTCCAATGCAATGTGGCGAGATTGGTCTCGTCACAGGAACTGTCAGGAAGACATAGTTAGAGACAATTTAGAATTTAAAGAGAGAGAGCAAACTATTAATGAAAATATAAAAAATTTAGAGGAACAAATAGCTAATGTTAAAAATAAAAAGAAATTGAGAGATAAAGATGATAAACTTAAAAATACTTTCTCCACTGTTAACAAGATGAAAAATAGATCCAATTATAGAAAATTTGGGGAGAATAGAGATTATGGACGAAAAATTGGCCCAGAACATAATCGCCATAATAATAAATATGGAAATGATTCTAGAGGAAGGAAATATTCCTACACTAAACCTCCTAACACTTGGGGTAATAATGAGAATAAACCTTTAAACAGAAAGGAACGATTTGTATCACCTAAGCGTAATAGCAATAGAGGAGAAAGGGGACAGTCTCCACCCTTTTTTCACACTAAAGATAGAATGGGAAAAGCTTCAGGAAATTCCCCTGTCCAGAAATCTGGCATCCCCACACAGAGACCTAGTACCTCTACTTACCAGAGAACATATGCAGAAATAGCTGGTTCTGGTCGGGAGAATTTTCAAGAGAGGGAAGAACGTTTTTTAGAGAGGGAGCTAGACCAAAAAGAAAGGCGAATAACCCAGTTTTTCAAACCCCGCAACAACCAGTGGGAAAACAGATTCTCCCCACTGGAAAGCCCCATGGAAACTCCACCCAAAAGAAAGAGAGCAGAGGAAAACTTCCGGAGGGAGGAAAATCCAAAAAGGAATTAGAAATAGAACTAGGCATTTATAATTTAACAGATATAGAGCTAACTCCAGACGATCTAAAAGCCCTCAAAAAGGGTCTTAAATTCGCACCCAATCAAGGTATGAATTATATAGACTTATATAACTTATATAACCTATATAGACTTACAAAAATTTTAAAAAGAGATCACATTTTTATCCCACCAGTCAGAAGGGCCATCATTTGGAAACCTTTAGCAATATGGTCTGTTTTGATCTAGAACAACTAGATCTACAGCAAAAAACTAATAAAAATAAGAATAAATTTAATCTCACTAAAGGGGAAAATGCTAGTATTAAAAAATTCCAAAATATGGAAAATGTCATCATTAAAGAAGCGGATAAGGGAGGGGCAATAGTCCTAATGACTAAAGACTATTACCTAAAAGAGGCAGATAGAATCTTAGGGGACAATAAAACGTATTTAAAATTAAAATGTGATCCTACAATTCAGTTTAATCAAGAACTTAAAACACTTCTAAATCTTGCCGGTGAAAAAGATGTAATATCTAAAAAAAATATTGAGTATCTTTATGTTGAATTTCCTGTGATCCCGATTTTCTATTTTTTGCCCAAGTTACAGAAGAACCCTGTAGAGCCCCCAGGAAGACCCATTATAAGTGGAATAGATTCAGTTACATCACGCCTTTCCGAATTTATAGATTATTATTTACAAAAAATTGCTCAACAAGCCCCCTCCTATATACGAGATTCTTCTCATATTTTGGAGTTGATGGCAAATAAAGACTTGGAGGAAGATTACATTTGGGTAACGATTGATGTTACTTCGTTATACACAATAATCAAACATGAATTGGGTATTCAAGTAGTAGAGAAAATCATGAAGGAGGACATTAATACACCAAATAATTTGAGAAATTTTGTATTGGATGGTATTCACTTTATTTTACACCATAACTACTTTTCCTTTAACAATGTTTTTTACCTTCAACAAACTGGCATAGCCATGGGGACCAGGTTTGCCCCCAGCTATGCCAACATATACATGAGAGATTGGGAGACCAACTCCGTGTGGAGGGGGCATGGCTGGGTTGCAAACCTGGTCCTCTGGAAGCGTTTTATAGATGACGTTATCCTAATTTGGAAGGGAACTCAGAGTGAACTAGAAAAATTCTTGAATTATAATAACATCAATAATTATAATTTAAAGTTCACACATACATTTGATACCAGAAGTATAAATTTTCTGGACATTACATTTTATATTAAAAATAATAAGGTTCAATCAAAGTGTTACTTTAAAGAGACAGAAGGAAATAGCTTTATTCATAAAAAGAGCTGCCATCACGAACATTGGCTAAATTCTATACCTAAAAGCCAATTAATTAGAATCAAAAGAAACTGTACCAACAATTATGATTATAAGGAACAAGCTAAACATTTATGCAATAAGCTTATGTCCAAAAAATATGAAAGAAGTGTACTAGACAAGGAAATTAAGGAGACAGGAAGATTAGACAGAAAGGATCTTATTAAAAAGAAGAAAAGAGTCAAAGATAAGGGGGAAAATTTTAAATATGCATTTATTACCCAGTATAATACCCAACATCGAAAGATTAGAAATATTCTGAATAAGCACTGGGGCATCTTGCTTAAAGATCCAATTTTAGGAGAGACATTACCCAAACAGCCACCTATGATTTTTAGGAAAGCAAAAAATTTGAAAAGTTTATTGGCTCCTAGCTATGCCTTAAAAAATAAACATGAAAACAAGAAAAGTGGAATAAAGGGTTTCAGCTCATGTAATCATTGTAAAGCCTGCTTGACACAGAGGCTTTTGAAAGTAACAAAGTTTAAAAGTACAGTTACAGGTAGAGAATTTAATATCAAGACTAATATAAACTGTGATAGTAAAAATGTAATATATTTGCTACACTGCCCCTGTGGAAAGCAATACGTGGGACGTACGTGTAGAAAACTTAAAGAACGAATTTTGGAACATAAAAATAATATTAGAAAAAAATATGATAAACACTCGGTTCCCATGCATTGTAATTCATGTCTTAATTTTAGTTGGAAACATTTCCACTATATAGGTCTTGAAATAATTGACAACCATTGGAGGGGTGGCAACCTTATTAAAAGACTAGCACAGCGAGAAACGTATTGGATCAATATATTAAAAACCCTCCAACCAGGAGGATTAAATGCAGACATAGATCTGTGGTGCTTTTTGGAGTAATTCTTTTTTTCCTCTGCTCTCTTTCCTTTTTCTTTTTCTTTTGCTCTCTATGGGTGGTGTATATTGTCATATATCCCTCTATATGTTTTTTGGCATTGAACAAGCCAAGAATCTATTCTATTTTTTCCTACCATTGAATATAAAAGGAACTATAAATACTTGGTCTTCCAGTAGTATTAGATATATCTTAATTTTAAAATTACAGATTTTCTGTTGAAGGTAGATAAACTACCATGTTTTATTATTACATATTTTTTTACTATCATTTTTTTTATATATATATTCATTTTTTGCAGAATTAATATTTTAATGCATTTATGGCATTATTTAGAACATCTTGGCTTGTGCATATCACATTATGCAGTGTGCATGTTGCCTTATGTAGTTGACATACAAATGTATTAATGTAAGAAACACAGGTTACTAGTGTGTCTGTTTTGTCTTTTATAAATAAAGTTTGTTTAGAAATCTTCAAATCAGTAATATCTCTTTAACCTGTTTTTTATAAATAAAGATTATTCAAAAAACCTTTAAATTAGCAATATCTTTTTAACCTCTTTGCCATTCCCTTGGTATACTCCCCCCACTTGTATTTCTATTTAGAAACAGTCTTTTTTGGGACTTTTTTTCAACATCTCAGTTTGTAATTATGAGTGACAGCCGAAACAAAGGTGGAACGCATAGCTGGAACGCATGACGTCATCACGCACATCACGTGACCGCACAGGATACACGAAACCCGGAAGTAACTCAAATTTGAATTGAAAACAGCTGAAGAGAAATGGAATCACCTGCAGAACCACTATTGGGACTGATTGGGGGTGGTATATATTGGGAAATGTTTGTAACTAGGTTTATATGTATTTTTATTCATCATCTTTGTGAAAGATTGTCCCTGAGGAAGTCCCTAACAGGGAAGAAACGCGTTGGACTGATTTACCTGCTTTTATTTACTTTGATGATTTACTTTTTACTCTTCACTCAAACAGTCATTCAATCTATATTTTTTGCACTTTGTTTTTTATGTGAGATTCACATTTACCAAGTATCTGAAGCAAAGAAGAGACAGCATATTTCTGAAAGCACTTCTTGGGATGTTAAAGTGTGAGTGAGCATTTGTCACTTACCCATATATCCAATCACAGTATATATAGTATTGCACTATGCCATATATTTTCTGTTTCCCTAGCTTGGAATAGCCCTATACTAGCAGCTTGGGCTGCCATAACCTGCTGGATCAACGCATCTGTGTTGGCCTTTTGCGTAATTACCAGTTGCTGGAGGGCTGTAATATTTTCCTGTTGTGCAGCTGTAGCCTCCTGCTGTACGGCTGTAGCCTTTTGCTGTGCAGCTGTAGTTTGCAACAAGACTTTCACAACTTCCTCCATATTTCTACAGGCTTGTTTGGCTTCCAGTTAATACCCACAGGCTTCTTTAGTGCAGTGCCCGCATTCTCCACCATATGTGACAAACTTACTTTCCTGTGTGTGTTTGTCCAGGATCTTTTGGCAACCGCACAGCCCTCTAGGGTAAGAAAACCAGGACAAGACAAAGTCCAGTTTCAAAAAGGCCTCTGGCCTGTTTATTTTCTGTTGTTGTGAAGTAACAGGATACAATGAATCAGCAAATCTTCTTTCTCCTCTGTGACAGAACCATCTGTCTGCTGGATTTTTGCCCGTTCGTCTGTTTGTCCCCGTTCGTATGAATGGCTGGTTTCTATAGCCCAGCCATTCGAATGACTCTTTTTCCCGAACAAAATCGCCGAACGAACGGCCACCCAAGTGAGGAGTGTGCTGCAGGTTAACGAAGTGATCACCATTATAACGTTGTGGTTAACCGCAGACACTTCTCAATTAAACCGAACTCAGGGTGGTCGTCGTTCGTATGTCGACCACGAGGCAGCGGCCATTTTAAATCATGCGAACGCTCAGCGGTGTTTGGCTCTATTTCTATGGAACGGAAAACGGACACTTTTTCTGTCGAACACCGCTGAAACAAGGGAACGCCTGGCTGCCTCCACGAAAGCATGCGAACATCGGCCGTTCGGGAGATTGAGAACACACAAAAGACTTAACCCAGATAGCCCACCCATGGAGTCATTCGTGTACCGAAGGACTGTAAGAACTTTGACTCCATGGCGATTGAACTATGTGTGTGGGATCTGAGCGCTATTCGCCAATAATATGCACTCAGATCCAGGCTATCTGGGGACATGTAATACGAATGGGAAATGTTCAGTTTTCATGTAGTTATGCATTTTTGTGTCTTTTATTATTTCATGTTTAAGATGGCGACTGTCCTTGTCCTGGAGTTAATTGAGTTACTTGGTAATTAACTCCAGGACAGAGGGGAGGGAATCAGAATGTACTGTGGGTAAAATATGTGACTGTGTGTCAGAAATGTCCTGCTATCTGTCTGTACTTTAAGTCTTCCATTTGGTCCCCTAGGGGAGTGTCCACCAGGTGGGAGACCTGCATAAATACGGGCAGGTAGCCCACAGTAAACCCAGATCTTATTTGACCCTCAATGCGGAGCTTCTGTCTCGTTATTGGGGGGATTTCTTCTTCACGTTTAGAGACTGCTGGATGGAACGAAAGCCGCTTTGGGGATATTATTGTTCGACGGTTCCTAGCAGTTCGTATATTGCCGTTCGGGAGTTTGGAGCCGTTCGTGGATTTCGATCGGGAGATTGCCGCTTCCCCTGCATTTGGTTCGTGGGTTACAGAGTAAGCGAACAGAGACTGTACTGCAGCCGGGGAAGGTTTACTAAACGGCGGTTTGG